GGCCGACTTGGCTTAAAATCCAAGTTTTGTCCCTTGGTAGTTTGACCTTGAATAAAATCCCTTAATTTCTCTAAACCTCTTTTGTCATTTCCTAAGAGACATTTCAGAGCTGATGAAAATGTATCATGGGGCTGTTTGAGGGGTTTGTGGTTTAGCGCATGTCCAGTACTTACTACAGATGGGTCCCTAGTASTGCTGCATGAATGAATGAATGATCTGCTCTCAAGTTCACAGGCAGGGAACCAGTGAGGCCAGAATGGTCAGAAACAGCTTGGAGAGTGTTGGGACGTGAGGGCTTACGTGGGCTGTCCTGCCCAGTGAGATGAAGACACATTAGAATCAGTATCTAAACACTTGGATTCTATTCCAGCAAGGTATTGAACCTGCCTTAGCCTCTATGTTCTTGTTATGGTTTAGATATGGGGTATCCCCCAAAAGCTCCTGTGTGAGACAATGTAAGAATATTCAGAGATTAAATAACTAGTTTATGAGAGCTGTAATCTAATCAGTGGATTAATCCACTGATATGGATTAATTTGGTGATATGTGTAAGCAGGTTGTTTATGGCTGAAGAAAGTAGTTCACTGGGGGCATGCCTTTGGGGTTTATATTTTGTCCCTGGTGAGCAGATCTCTCTCTCTTGGCTTGCTCATTGCCATGTCCTGAGCTGCTTCCCTTCTGTCATGATGTTCTGCCTCACTGAAGCCCAAAGCTCTGAAGTCAGCTAACTGTGGACTGGGAGCCATCACAAACCTTTCCTCCTCTAAGTTGTTCTGGTGAGGTCTTTTGGTCACAGCAACTAACTAAAACCATCCTTCATTGCAATAGAGAAATAATGACTTTCTTTGCCTATCTCATGGGTCTTGTTTTAACAATAAAATGCATTCATTCATTCCTTAATTTACCAACTCATTTCTGAGCATTCCATTCTGTGTCAGATACTTTCTAAGTCCTGGAGGTCAAGATATGGAGAGAAAAAAAAAAAGAATAATCCCTGTCCTCATGGAGTTTCAGTTCTAGTATGGAGGAGGTGGGTGAGATGATAAAGATAAAAAGGGTATAAGATATTAATCGRTGATGTTATGGAGAAATCAAAGCAGGGGCCCAGGAGAGGTGGGAGTTGATTTTTAGATAGAGTACCAGGAAAGTCTTACCAGAAAAAAAAAAGGGAGGGGGGCCTTTGGATAAGTAAGTGAAGGAGCAAACTGTGCTGGCATTTGGAAGAAGAGGATCCCGGGCAGGAGAAAACCATCAGAGGAAAGGCCCTGGGGCAGTGAATCAATGAGTGCATCAGGAGCAGGTTGGCTGGAGCGATAGGAGAGAAAAACAGAAGAAAGTTTTATTGTTTTTGTAATTTTTTTATTTGTTCTTTTTATTTATACATGACAGTAGAGTGTATTTTGACGTACCATGCATACATGGAGTATAACTTCCCATTCTTGTGGTTGCACATGATGTGGAGTTACAATGGTYGTGTATTCATATATGAGCATGGGAAAGTTATGTCTGATTCATTCTGCTGTTTTTCCCATTCCCATCCCCCCAACCTATCCAATTCTGTGAATCTCTACTCCTTCTTCCCTCCCCCCCCCCATTGTGAGTCAGCACCCATATATCAGAAAGAACATTCGGCCTTTGGTTTGGGGGGGATTGGCTTATTTCACTTAGCACAATAGTCTCCATTTCCGTCCATTTACTGGAAAAATACCATCATTTCATTGTTCTTTGTGGCTGAGTAATATTCCATTGTGTATCCATTCATCTGTTGAAGGGCATCTAGGTTGGTTCCATAAGTTAGCTATTGGGAACTGAGATGCTATGAACATTGATGTGGCTGTGTCACTCTAGTATGCTTATTTTAAGACCTTTGGGTATATAACAAGGAGTGGGATAACTGGGTCAAATGGTAGTTCCATTCCAAGTTTTCTAAGGAATCTCCATACTGCTTTCCAGAGTGGTTGCACAAATTTGCAGTCCCACCAGCAATATAGGAGTGTGCCTTGTTCACATCCTCGCCAACATTTATTGTGCTTGTATTCATGATAATTGCCATTCTCACTAGAGACAAAATCTCAGTGTAGTTTTAATTTGCATTTATCTAATTGCTAGAGATGTTGAACATTTATATATATATATATATATATATATATATATATATATACCATTATATATATATAATCTATACCATTCGTATTTATTCTTCTGTAAAATATCTGTTCAGTGCCATTGCCTGTTTATTGAGTGGGTCATTTGAGTTTGGGGTGTTAAGTTTTTCTGAGTTCTTTATGTATCCTAGAATTAATGCTCTATCTGAGGTGCAGGAGGTAAAGATTTTCTCCCATCCTTTAGGCTCTCTGTTCACATTCTTGATTGTTTCCTTTGCTGTGAAGAAGCTTTTAGTTTATAAGTCCTATTTACTAACTCTTGATTTTACTTTTTGTATTTTAGGAATCTTGTTGAGGAAGTCAGTTCCTAAGCTGACATGGTGGAGATTTGGTCCTACTTTTACTTCTAGTAGGCACAGGGTCTCTGGTCTAATGTCTAGGTCCTTGTTTCACCTTGAGTTGAGTTTTGTGCATGGTGAGAGATAGGGGTCTCATTTCACTTTGCTACATACAGATTTCCAGTTTTCCCAGCACCATTTGTGGAAGAGGCTATCTTTTCTCTAATGTGTGTTCATGGTACCTTTGTCTAGGATGAGATAACTGTATTCATGTGGGTTTGTCTCTATTCCACTATTCTTCATGTCTGTTTTGGTGCCAATACCATGCCTTTTTTGTTAGGACAGCCCTGGATTATTATTTAAGGTCTGGTATTGTGACAGAAGCAAGTTTTAAACACAGAAATAACCAGACTGGCTTTTCTCTCCAACTGAGATGAGGTGTCATGGAGACCCTTAAGCAGGAACCCGGCATGATCTGGCCCACACTTCATGAAGGTACCCCATCTGCAGCTTTGAGGATACAGTGAAGCAAGGAGTCCAGAGGAAAGGCAGGGAGCTCATTGGGGAGGATGTCACAGCTACCAGGTGAGAGCCGATAGACAGGACAATAGCCATAGAGAGGGTGACATGAGGTAAAGGAGAATCCACTTTGGAAATTCAATTGCTCTTCACATGGGAGCCTGGGGAATGGCATGAATAAATCACAGACCCTGGTGGGGCAGATGGCACTGGTTCAAGTGGCCACAGGCTGAACTCAGTCATTCCATACAGGTCTCAAGGAGAAATTTCCTAAGAACATACATATGAACTGAGGGCCTGGGTATAATGGGGTCTCCAGACTTGTTTGTGATGATCGGAATTCAGCCAGAAATGCAGTAAGAAGGTCACGTTGCTTCTTACCTCAGGCCTTCATCCTCAAAACTTTTTCTCAACTTAAACTCTCCCTACTCCTCCAGTTGCAGCTAGAGAAAGAACATATCATGTCATTCCATCTCAGACACGATGCAGAGCAGACTTGGTGAAAAAGGGATCACAACTGTGTCCGCCTTTCCTAGGTTTCTCTGGAGAACTTCCCATCATCCGTTTGAGATAATCCCGTGCACTCCAAGGCCACTTCTTGCTAAATGACACATTTTTTTTCTCCTGAACAATCCTTTCGATGCATTAAGAGCTTAATCAACCAAAATTTCAGGATGTGCTTAATTCCAGGGCTTGATTTGAATATCATTGCCTTGGGAGGAGGAGAAACTGAGCCTTCCCAAGTTGAGAATTTCCTGTTGGCCGGACTGTTCCCCAAAGCATGTCCTTGGCAGCCCATTAATTACATTTTATTTTGACAGAGCTCATATATGGTTGTTATATCTTTAGGGGGTACAAAGGTGTTGGGTGATTAATTGGTTGATAGCGTATGTTAATTGAATGCTAATTAAATTTAAATTTAATTCATATTTGCAACACTTAATTGAACACAGGACCAGGAAATCAGAATATTCAAGCTTCTTGAAGGAACTTGTCTTTCTATCTGTCACCTTCCTATGTCTATTGACACTCCCTCCTTGTTTACAAACTTGTTTTTCAAGAGAAGAAATCAGACGGTTCCTAGCGCTTCCAACTGTAATAAAAAAGTGTTGGTTCTTTCAATCCATAAATATTTAATTGCTTCACTGGAAAAAAAAAGATATCTTTCCCCACCCTGTTACTTTAGTTTGTTCTAAACAAGTCTGGTCAGGCTGGAAACTGTGCTGATTCCTTCCCTTTGGTTTGATAATGGAAGAAACAAGTCCAAAAGAAAGTCTCCTCACTTAGACTCCAGAAAGGCACGTGACAGGGGCCCAGAATGCTGAGGGCAGGGGAGGGGGCTGTTCATGACACTGGAGGCATCCAAGAAATTCTCTGAATATCATTGGGAAACCACTGGGTGAACTCTCTGCAAAACTGTTGGCAAAAGAGCCAACGGTTCCTCTCTTACAACCTCATGGTGGAAGGGGCTAGATCTAATCCTGGCATAGGAGCCCCTTTGCTACCTTGGGTGGAAAGAACAGGTCCACTCAGGATCCAGTTATTTGAAGATTTCCTGGAGTACCTGGCCTTGGGACTATGAGGGTATCTTCAATTCCTAATCTCAAAAAAAAAAAAAAAAAAAAAAGAAAAAAGAAAATATTAAGCCAGAAAGAAGCAGGGACTTTGAAGTTCTGGTTTGTATCCAGGCTCCCCCTCTTAGAAGTATTGTTTAGTTCTTCTGAAATGGGATACTTTAAGGTCATGCATAAGAATTAAATGAGATAATAAGTATTGGTTGAAACCTAGCACAGCGCTTGTATAGTAAGATGTTCAACACCTGGTAGGTGTCGTCATCGTCACTGCCTAGTAATCTCCACTTCACTTCTGGTCTTGTGGAAAGCCTGAACCTAGTACCAGCAGGTGTGGGTGTGGGTGTCTGCACACACATGCATCCTATACGTGCAACGGCCATGTCTCATTCTCAACCTTTGTGCTGTCTCAGTAGTGGCTTCTGAGGCTTGATCCTCCTTCTCTCACTCACTGCATCTCTCCTCAGCTGTCCTGGAGAAACCTCTAGAAAAGAAGGCTGGCAGGAATTATGGCCCTCCAGGCAACAAGAAGCTTGTCTACTTCATCGATGACATGAACATGCCAGAGGTGGACGCCTATGGGACAGTGCAGCCCCACACTGTCATCAGGCAGCATCTAGATTACGGGCACTGGTAAGAGGACAGGCAAGGGGTGGGGGTGGGCAAAATGTAAGGCCAGCCTGGGGGCCACTCACTCTTGGGCTGAAATAGCAAATTCCAGTTCCGCTCTGGGACCACGTGAGAGTCTCAGGGGTCAACCACACTCCATAGGATTCTCTGTTCCTCTGGAGTACTCTTTCAAACAAGGACACTTAGGTCCGGGTGAAAAATTAGGCTACAGGATGTACTATTCTCTCAGCTAAGAAAGAAACCTGTTATTTCTTTAAAACTCATCTCAGTAATGGCTAGATATTGCAAAAGGTGCTTGTCTTGGGGGAGCAAAAGATGGGGAAATGGAGGTTGAATTTTTTTTCTTTCTTTTCTTTCTTTCTTTTCTTTTTTTTTTTTTTTTGTATTAGAAATTGAACTCAGGAGCACTTAACCACTGAGCCACACCCCCATGCCTCTTTAGTTTTTATTTTGAGACAGGGTCTTGCTAACTTGCTTAAGACCTTGCTAAATTGCTAAGACTGGCTTTGTACCCTCCTTGTTCCGGCCTCAGTGTCCCAAGCCACTGGGATTATAGGCATGCCTCACCACACCTGGCAAGAGGTTGGCTTTTATCAGTGCCTGCTGTAGGCACATCTGGAAATATCACACTGAATCCCATTAATATGAATAATTAATACGTGTTAATAAAATGCTTTAAAAATAAGCCCAAGGGATAACTTAAAATGAAAAAGAAAGGAAAAGACTCATTTCAAAAGTTGCATTCTTCAGAGGCTTTCCCAAAGTTGGTGGGGAGGTAGTTAAGATAACTAGTTTTACTTTAGATTCATGATCACAAATCTTAAAGGGGAAGTAGGAGCTTCCTGGAAATGCTACTATATTGTCTTACCTGTGTCTCTCAGAAACATCCGTTTCACACCATCTCCAACTTTCACACCTCCAACTTCCTACTCCACCTCAGTGGGTGATGTGGCCCTCTCAGCACTGAGACTAACTCCATTTCTTATTTCCACATCTGTTCAACTTACTGCATCTTCCTGCATCCTGTGCTCTGCCCTCCTGTTCCCTCTTACCTATGGCTAAACTAGCCACCGCCACGTGGCTCTGCTGTCTCCCACTCCCCAAATCCTCGCTTCCTCAACTAGTCTTCCTGTCTCTTTGCCGGCTCCTTCATGTCATCTGAACTTGCACAGAATTCTTCTACTATGTTGTCAAAAAAAAAAAAAAAAAGCAATCCTCATACTCGATTACCTTTCTGTCTACCTCCCTCCGCATAACCAACTTCTCTCGTCTGTTCTTACTTCCTACTTTCCCACTCACCCCTTAACCCACATTATCTGATTTCTGTTCCCTCTACTTTACTGAGCCTTTCTTGCTGAATCACTCACTGCATTTTTTTTTTTTTTTTTTTTTTTTTTTGCAAAACCAGAGCAACCCTTTTGGAGTTCTGTCTTTCTTACTCTCTCTGCACTTGGTGTAGATGACCACACTCTCCTTTTGGAAATACGGGTTTCCTTTGCCCTCTGGGCTGCCACATGCCCCTGATTTAGCTTCTCTGTCTATTATCTCTTTTTTTTTTTTCTATATGATTTCTAGAGAGATTCTCAGAAATTTGTGTTAGGCGCTTATCTCATCTCCATCTCCATCAGGGGATCTGGGTTTTGTCTGTTTTTCTACCCAAGCGTATGAATGATAGGGCACATCCTACTTAACTCCTTGCAATGCTCACCTGCATAGGCCCTCCCACTACTCTCACCGGAATTGTCTGAATCTTCTAGGTATGATCGGAGCAAGCTGTCCCTGAAGGAGGTCATGAATGTACAGTATGTTTCCTGCATGAATCCTACGGCCGGCAGCTTCACCATCAACCCACGGCTTCAGGTAGCGTGGCCGCCAAGTACAGTGGTATGTGGTCCTAACACCACCTTATCAGGACTCACGTCCCTTGATAAGAAGTGATTACTGTCCAGCCTCTCAAAACGGTTAATCAGGACGACAACATGCATTTCTAGTGGGACAGGGAAACTCCTAGACCCAGGGTCACAAAGCTTTTAGAGATAGAAGAGGTCATGGGGTTCATTTGATTCGACTCTCTCATTCCTGAGATGGGGGAACTTCAGAGGGATGAAATGACTCACCCCAGGTCATATGGACACTTGGTATCATGTTCAGATTTGAACTCTGTTTTCCTGTTACTTTGTGTACCCATCTTTGATCAAAGATCCACCACAGCCATTGATTCCCCCAATCATTTTACATTCAACCTCAATTGGGGGGTCGTGTGAAATACGTGGTGACCAAGATGTAGCATTTTGAGCGCTTTTAAGAATTCTCCGTTATTTTTTCCTAGCCTGGAATTGATGATTTTTTATTTTTTTATTTTTAGTTATAGATGGACACAGTACCTTTATTTTTATAATGTGGTGCTGAGGATCGAACCCAGGGCCTCACGTGTGCTAGGCAGGCGCTCTGCCACTGAGCCCCAGCCCCAGCCCCCGCCCTCCCCGAAGTGGTGATTTTGATTCTGTGATCAAGCCTGTCCAGCTCACGGCCTCCACCTCGTGTCTTTGCTTCCTATGCAGCGTCACTTCAGCGTGTTTGTCCTCTCCTTCCCGGGAGCAGATGCCCTCTCCTCCATCTACAGCACCATCCTGACGCAGCATCTGAAGCTTGGACACTTCCCAGCCTTCCTGCAGAAGTCCATCCCCCAGCTGATCAACCTGGCCCTCACCTTCCACCAGAAAATCGCCACCACGTTCCTGCCCACAGCGATCAAATTCCACTACATCTTTAACCTCCGGGATTTTGCCAACATCTTCCAGGTGAGTTCACCTGCTGTGAGACGCCCTAAGAGTTTTAGGGATGCTCCAGGGGCTCCCATAATCAATAAAATAAATGGCAAATGCCAAACTTTTAGGCAGTTTATATGGAGTCCTGAACATAGACTCCACCTGGGCCTCTGTGAGGACAATCTCAACAAAACAGAGTTTTATTTGGAACTTCAATATGCCTCAGAAAAGAGCGTGCATTTCCTAAGTTGGTTCCTTTAGGTTGAAGAAGGCTCAGCATCTCAGAGATAAGGTCATATAAATGATCCCAGTATGCTTGGGAAGGAAAATGGCACAAAACAGAAAGTATTTTCTTCTTATCACTATTCCTGAAACAATAGAGTACAGCCGCTATTCACGTAGCATTTACATCACATCAGGTAATCTAGAGATGATTTAAATTAAGTTATATACAACGTTATCATATTTTCCATAAATGACCTGAGTATCCATGGATTTTGGTATCTGAGGGGGGTCCTGGAACCAGCCTCCCCTGGATAATATGGAAGAAGGACTGCATTTCCAATTTAGAGATGACAAAACTGTGACACGGGCAATCAAGTCCCTGGAGCATGATCATAAAACTGGCGAGCAGCAGCATTGATAGCCACAACTAGAATGCTCAGCCCTTCCATCCAGGTAATTTGGGGTGATGAAAGGCTTCCTGAAGAAAGACCAGCTATTTCAACTTTGTTTTCATGGTAACTAGTACAATGTCAAGGAGAAACCAGAAAGCAGAGATATCCAGGTGGATATCTTGTTCCCCTGGCCTGTTTCTTTGTCTGATTCAGGCAGCTTGAGTGGCGACCCCCTGGGCTCTGGATCCCAGCCTGGCCTCTTTGCAGCCTGCCAGCTGTCAACCTCCTGCCACAGCATTGGAGAGGACATGGCACTCTGGGGAACTGCCTCCCTTCATCCTCACAGTCCCCCATCCTCGTCCTCCAGAGGGGAGTTTCAAGCTCAGAGCTTGACCACAGCCTCCCTCTGTCTTTCCCACCTCCTTCCCGACTGCTTGTCTTAGGCCTGATGGGAGAGATGAAGGGGATGAACAAATGCCTGTTAGGAGACAGGCCCTGTCTAGAGAACCCAGCTTGATCCAAGTCGCAATAATAAGTGCTTCTCTGCGCTTCCCTCACTCCATCCAAATCACAACGGAATTGAGCAGGACTGGGAGTAGCAGAAATCATTAACCACTGTTCCCATCTCCGGGCCACACATCTGAGATGGTGCACAATTTGTACTTAACAGGCTCACATTTACTCAGCCCTTAATTATCTGCCTGACAGTTTGACCATATCAGGGGTTCTAAAGATCAGCTGATAGCTTGCCTTACTGTCAAACACAAAAATCCCAGAAGTCAGAGTTTCTGGTTAGTGATTTTTCCTGACTTCCACATTTTATATATGATTGATACTGAGAAGAGATGAGAAAGAGAAAGAGGCTAAGATAAACACATGGGTGGGGAGCCAAAGGGAGATAATGGAATTTCTTTTTCTTTTAATGAACTTTCATTACATTATGGCATATAGACAGAAAAGCACACAAGCCATAAGCATCCATCTTGGTTAATTATCACCAAGGGATCACACCTATTTGAATTCATAATTTAAACCTTCCATAAAGAAATTCCAGGTTATACCTATGTAACCATGACTCGGATCACATTTTAGAACATTCCAGCCTCTCCAAAGCACCTCTTTTGCTTCCTTCCTTCCTTTCTCTCTTTCCTCCTCCTCCTCAATATGGTCTAGACTTTAACACAATACATCATTTTGACCTATTTTTGAACCTAATGCAAACAGAATGTTAGTGAATGTCACTTTGTATCTTTGTTCAATATTATGTTTGCACTTATATTTTCAATCATGGTATCAGTTTAGAAGTAACAGTTTTCTTTCTCTCTTTCTAACCCTGAAATCTCTTAATTTCTTTTTCTTGTCCTAATGTGTTGGCCACCAGCTGACAATACAATGTTGAAGAGAAGTAGTGAGAGTGGTATCTTGTCACGTTTCAAATTTTAGAGGGAAAAGATCTTAATAGCCTGTTATTAAATATGATAGTTACTGTAGGCTTTTGTGGATGCCCTTCATCAGATTAAGAAAACTTCCTGTAATTTACTAAAAGTTTTAATCACAAATGTGTGTGGAAACTTAAGTGGTCTTTTATGCATCACTCCGAATACTCAAGTCATGTTTCTCATTTATCCTGGCTATGTGATAAATCACACAGATTATTTTTAAGTGTTAGATCAACTTTGCATTTCTAGAATCAACTCAAGTGGGTTATTGCACATTGTCCCTTAAATCTTTCTGGATTCCATTTGCTAAATTTTTCTATATAGTTTTCAATTATATATATATATATATATATATATATATATATATATATATATATATATATATATATATATATATATATATACGATTGTCTTGTCACTTTCCTTTCTCTAGTATTCTAAAGTAATAAAGTCCTCATAAAATATTTTGGCAAGTGTCTCCTTTTTTTCTCCTCTTTAGGAGACTCGGTAAAACATCATATTGTGTCTTCCTTAAATATTGAAAGAATTTCCTAGTGAAACCACCTGGAATTTCTTTATGGAAGGTTTAAATTATGAATTCAATTTCCTTAATACATATAAAACTATTCAGATTTTCGGTTTCTTCAGGTGTCAGTCATGGTAAGACCTCAGATTCTCAACAACTTCTAATTTATTGGCATAAACTTGTTTTTAATTGCTTGTATTATCTTTTAAATGTCTGTTGCATCAGACATTATGCCCTTTTTCTTATTCTGGTAACCAATTACATGTGCCCTCTCTCTTTTTCTCTTCTGTCACCCTTTCAAGGGAGCTGTCAATTTTGCTACTCTTAAAAAAAACCTCAAAAATTATAACAATATTACTATTTAATTTCTTGACTGCCTCAATTTGATATCTGTTTAAATATTATTAATGTTTACTTTTTTCTTTTTAACTCTGGATTTGGGCTTAGTTTGTTCTTTTTCTAACTTCTTGACTGATATCATGAGTTGTCAGCTTTTGTCTTTTCTAAAACACCCACTTTTAAGGCTCTAAATTTATCTCCGATTATCTCATCAGCTATCTCATAACAGCTTTTATATGCTGTATTTTTATTATCTTCAGTTTATAATACTTCTTAATTTCCACCTTAATGTATTCTTTTTTTGATCCATGGAATGTTTAGAAGCATATTGCTTTATTTCCAAAACTGTAAAGGTTTTCTAGTGATCTTTCCTTTAATAACTAGCTTACGTTCACTGTTCTCAGAAAAAAAATTTATATGATTTTTGTTCTTTTGAAGTGTATTGGGATTTGCTGTTACTCAAAATATAATAAACATGCACATTAACAAATGTATTCTAGCCAGGCAAGGTGGCCCTTGCCTGTAATCCCAGGGGCTCAAGAAACTGAGGCAGGAAGATGGAAGGTTCAAGGCCAGCCTCAGCAAGTTAGAGAAGCCCTTAGTAACTTTGTGAGACCCTACCTCAAAATAAAAAATAAAATAAAAAGGGCTTGGGATGTGGCTCAGTAGTTAAATGTCCCTGGATTCAACCTCTAGTCCAGAAAACAAAGGCATTCTAAGATGTTTAGTGTAGATTCCCCAACACGTTAATTAGGACAAGTTTGTAAACCATGTTATTTAAATTTTCTATGTATTTAAGACTTTTTGTGTGCTTTTTTGTATGTTTTTTAAAAAGACATATTAAAATCTCTTTCTGTGATTGTGGACATATCTATTTTTTCTTTTATTTCTGTTATATTTATTTCTTATATTTTGAAGCTATGTTATTAGATGCATAACTTAACATATCTTTTTTATTTTACAGTGAGTTTAATATGATTATTTCTAGGATATATTTGTAATTAGTATCTTTCTGACTTTTTTTCTTACTTATTAAATTTACTTCTTTATCTCTAAAAGTGATCCTTGTTTTAAACTCAACTTTGTATAATATGAGTAGGACTACTCCATATTCTCTTTGAGTCAGTATCTTCATAAGATTAATCCCTTAGTATCCATGGGGGATTGGTTGCAGGACCCCTCACATATACCAAAATCTTCAGATGCTCAATTTTTTATATAAAGTAGTGTAGTATTTGATATAAACTACATAGCTTCCCATATACTTTAAATCACCTTTAAATTACAATGTCAATGCTATGCAGATAGTTACTGTACTCTATTGTTTAGGGAAAAAGGAAACCCCCCCAAAAGTTTATTCTTTTCAGTACAGGTGAAAAATTTTCTGAATATTTTAGATTAATTTGTATTCACACATTATAATTATACATAAAAGTGGGATTCATGGTGATATATTTACACATGTACTATAATTTAGTCAGTTTCATTCCCTAGCGCCTCCCCTTTCCCTTCCTTCCTCCCTTTCCTTGATTCTCTTCCTCTGCTCCACTGGTATTCATTCTAATTTCTTCTCTCTAGCTTTTCTGAATATTCTTGATCCGTGGTTACTTGAATCCATCGATGCAGAACACATGGTTACAGAAGCCCAACTATACACTGTTTTCACTTTTTATGCTCCGCTTGTCTATATTTTTATATTTAAGAATAAACCTAAGCAGGATATAGTAATTTTTTTAATCCAGCCTATTATCTTTTAATTATACTGTTTAATTCATTGTTATTTTTATAATAATATATTTTGGATTAAATTACTTATGCTATTTGTTCTAAATATATTCTACCTATTCTTTTTCCTTTCCTCTCAATTATTATGTTCCACTCAACTAATAATATTTTTTTATTATTTTATTTTTTCTCTCTTTTATTATTTAAGAAAATCCTTTTCTTTTTCATTGAATGGTTGCCATATTAATCATAGTTTTATTACAGCTTGTGTCTGTTCATTTCAATAGCTAGATCTTCTGATTCAGGGTTTTCTTTTGTTTTTTACTCATTTGGTCTTATCTCCTACTCTTCTACTGTCTTTCCCACCCCTGTCCTCCCTACCTCCCCCCCACTCCAACCTGCCCCATCCAGTGAACCTCCCCTTCTCCCTCGCTGCCCACCTCCACCCACTTATTGTGAGTCAGCATCCAGAAATCAGAGAGAACATTCTGCCTTTGGTTTGGGGGCATTGGCTCATTTCACTTAGCATGATAGTCTCCAGTTCCATCCATTTACCAGCAAATGCCATCCTTTTATTCTTCCTTATGGCTGAGTAATATTCGATTGGGGGTATATGTACCATATTTTCTTTATTCATTCATCTGCTGAAGGGCACTAGATTGGTTCCACAGTTGAGCTATGAATTGAGCTACAGTAAACATTGTTTTCACTTGTCCTTTTTAGTTTTACATGACAGTAGAATGTATTTTGACATATCATACATACTTGGAATATAATTTCCCATTCTTGTGGCTGCACATGATGTGGAGTTACTATGGTCGTATATTCATATATGAACGTAGGAAAGTCATGTCTGATTCATTCTACTGGCTTTCCCATTCCCATCTCTCCACCCTCCCCCTGATTCCCCCTTGTCCAATTTGGTGGACCTTCACTCCTCCCTTCCCACAACCCATTGTGAGTCAGCATCCACATTATCAGAAAGAACATCCAGCGTTTGGATTTTGGGGGATTGACTTATTAGCAATGATCGTCTCCAGTTCCATCTGTTTACCAGCAAATGCCATAATTTCATTCTTCCAAAAAACAGAAATTTTGATGGAGTTTCTTGCTATGCTGTATTACAGTGTTTGAAGAATTTAATATCCAGCTACAAATTTTTTCAACAAGAATTCACTGAGAATCTACTCTACATCAGGCACCATGCTAGAGAAGAGTAGTACAATAATAAAAATCAACCATCACCAAAATGAAGTCTGTCAACTTCCCTGTCTTTGAAACACTTTCCATGAGCCATGAGAAGCAAATTTGGGAAAGAAAAAAAATAATAATTTGAGAAAATAATAATTTTTCCTGACTGGAGATTTATATATAAAGGGCTCTGTGGGGCACATCAGAAGGAATGTTACTGGGCAGGAAAGGAGATGTCTTAGAAGGCTTCAACAAAGAGGGACCAATTGAACTAGATGTTGAGCACAGAAAGCAAAACAAAGAAGGAGCGGAGGAGGTGCAGAAAGAATACAGAATCAGAAAACAATTTGAGTTTTCAATGTGATATCTAGATTTTAAAGGAAGTAACAATAAAAGTGACCATGAGGTAGCAGATCAGTGATCACATTGTGACCAGATATTTATGCCTTGCAGATGAGTCTGAACAGCATTCTGTCAATGATAAGGAACCAATAAATGACCCTCATTTATTCCAAGACAAGAAAGAAATCAATGAGTGCAAACACAGAGATGAGTCTGAAGTGAGAGGATTTGTTCGGGTTGTTAGGGGCTGATGGTCTCTATTTCTCCAATGAAAATAAATACTAGGATTTGGGCTAAGGATAGCAGAGTGAGGTGACAGAGGAATTTGATAAGAAAAGTAAATATTTGGAACAATCACTGTAACATATAGGAAAGGGAATGGTATAGGAATGACTAAATCAATTGCGGATCTGCCAATGTTTGGCACATCTATTGTAGTCTTTTCTCATTGTTCTGATTTTACCTGGTCAATCATGACATCAATCAGTTTTCAAAATGGCACTTGTAGAATCGAAATATAGAGAGAAAACACTCTGACCTCATTGTGGTCATTTGAAAAGTAGTAGTCAATATTATAGACCCTAAGGAAGACCTAATATTAAACATTGTGGCTTTGAAGGAAGGCAACTTATAACTTATTCTATGATACTGGGCATGTTTTCCATATTTCTAAACCCCAGTCTCCCCAGTATACAAGATACATGCAGTAAAAATTATTTTATAACATCATTATGAAGATTAAATGAGCTTTGCCTTGGAAAACATCTAGTCCAACGTCTGTCACATAACTGGCTTCAAAAAAATTATAGCTGTTGCAGCATTTTTAAAAATAATGAGCAGAAAACCATAATTCCAATTTATTGAGTGAGATCCATCATCCTAGGCACATTAATTTGAATTATTTCAACAACTCCAGAAAGTCAATATTGCTATTTTGGTTTGAAAAGTGAGCAAATTAAGGCTCAGACATGTCACATGCCTTGCCCACATAGTTGCTATATGGTTGTGACAATATTTGAGGTCAGATCTGTCTGCCTCCAACACTTGGTCTCCCCCCCCACACACACACACACTTTATGATACACTCATTAGTGAGATAATTTCAGGCATTATTCTAGTTTGAACAAAATGTTCCAGAAAGTTCTTTTAGCTATTGTACTTCTGAATTGCTATTAATGTTGTTTTGTCTGTTCTTCTTGAAGGGAATTCTTTTTTCTTCAGTGGAATGTATAAAGTCCACACAGGACTTAGTGAAGCTCTATCTGCATGAATCAAATCGGGTTTATCGGGATAAGATGGTAGAAGAAAAGGACTTTGATCTTTTTGATAAAATCCAGATAGAAGTACTCAAGAAAATCTTTGATGTAAGTATTGCCCTGTGGATTTGTTTTACATTTAAATTAATAATAATATGCACATGATCGCCCAAATGAAACAATCCAGTTCGTTAACTAAGAAAAGGTCAGAGATTAGGTTAAAGAAATAAATTCTATCATTGTTTTGTCCAGGTGAAAAATGGAGGGGTAAGAATAGACAAAAACTCATTGCAGATCTCAGTGCCGAGAGGTCCACAGTGATCAGCTGACCAAAGTGCTCCCACGCTGGTCATCCCACATGACATTCCAGCATCCCAAGAACATACTATCTCCTCTCCCATGGAAAAGCCATTTCAGAAGTGCTATTAACTGGACTTTGGGAATGATTCTGACAATTGGAACATTTGGAACCATTTTGAAAATTGGAACACTTGGAAAATTTATTGTAAAAATGATTTCAAATCTATTCTCCCACCCATTAGTCTTAGGTTGACATGACAAACATCTAAACACGTTGGAACAATTGACCTTCCCATACTGAGTCTTCTCTTCACGGGGTCAAAGAGCCTTAATCCTTTTGGCTGTGTCTGATATGTATTGGTTACAAACCCAGAAAAACTTGATATCACCCCTCTGAAATTGTGGTGCCTGACCTTCATCACACAACCCAGCTGGGGTCTGACCCAAAGCAAGATCAACATCTTAAAATGTGCCCTGCTAAACAATTGGGAAGAAGGTGTCCATCATGAGTTGGGTGAAGAAAGCCCTTCATGTTATATCACACTTTTGGAAATTCACAGTGCAGTTGGCACATTAAAACTCAGAAATCTAGAATAATTCTAACTCACATACTATTTTGCAAATGTGGTAGACCCTAAAATTTATTTTCCCTTCATAAACTTCTGAAATTATTTTTCCATTGAACTACTGGCCCCTGAAATTATTAAAAGAATGAATGGCCCATTTTTTTTCTTAAAGAAAGAATGATATGCCTTGGGAGAATTTGGTATATTAACACCATCAGAGATTATATCAAATTATCAGTGTCAAAAATTACTCCATAATTACATGGACACTTCTGATGACCAAAGACCCATATTCTCCATATACTGCTTGTTTGTCCTCTCTTGAACTTAGAAATAATCAAACTTGAGTATAATTGTATGATGTAGTTCTTGTATTCACTGTTTCAGTCTGCTTCCTATTGCTATAACAAAATACTTGGGACAGGGTAACTTGTAAAGAAAAGAGGTTCATGGAGATCACAGTTTTGGAGACTGAATGTCCAAGATTGAGTGACCCCATTAATTCAGCCTCTGGTGAGAGATTCATAGTGAATGGCACTATGACAGGAACATGTATAGAAGAACTATGGTGAGTCAGGAAATGAAAAAAGATTCAGGAGTCACATTTGGTCTTTAATACGACCCACTCTTGCAAGAACTGATAACTTATCCCATAAGACCCGCAGCAGTCTCTTCAGAGTGCAGCTCCCCCTCAGTGATCCAATCATCTCCTATTAAGCCACACCTCTTAGAGGTCCCACTAACTCTCACATGGCCACACCAGGGACCAAGCTTCCAACATATGAACTTTTGAGGGACACACCATATCTGAACCATAGCACTCACTCTGTTTTAGCACCATGTTTCCTGATAAGATGCTGGATCTGCCTCTGAAGGTATTGACAGTGCATCCCAATCTGTGTGGCAGCTTTTGAGTGATCAGACAGAATTTTACATAACATATTTGATTTTTCTTTTTCCTGGGCTAGAGTTTCTAAATTCCTTCACTTCTGTCATTGTTTGTAAGGGTCCTGATGTTCAGAGTGCTCACATCTTAGATGCCCCGTCCTGAGCATTGCAGCATTAGCCAGTTGCTGTACTCATTGCTAGCTCTGCAGATAAGGCTGGATGGTCTTCATAAGCTGGTCTGAGCTAACACTTTAACAGCACTCAGATTTTGAAGTCCAGTTCCCCAAGTGGGTTTTGTATAGGAAGGGTGCCTCCTTTTGATCACAGACTTAGATATAATTGTTACTGCCGTTATCCTTCCCCAACATTTGAAATGCCAACCTGAAGCATCCTTGCTCCACCAAATCCTGATATCAGTAACAAGGAAAAGTTGCCAGATTCCCACCCAAGAAGTGCTACAATCCTGTTTCCACCATCAAAAGCTTAAAGTTCTCTGGTTCACAGCCCTGTGTGATACCATGTTGCTATTAAGGAGTTTTTGATTCACTGTGTTGGTTGATTTTTCTCTCTCTCTCTCCCTTCTGTGCAGCATGTCTCTGATCATAAAATTGGAGACTTGTTTTGTTCATCAAAGAACCTTTGTAGATCAGGCTTTTTCAAAACTCACCTTTTGTTTCTTCTCTGCTAGATCCTCAGTGTAAATTGACTGCCGTCAGAACTCATCCCCCAGTATGGGAGCCCGTTCTCAAACTGGGTCAATGTATTCCTGCATTACTTTACTGTAAAACGACCCAAAGTAGCTCTCTTGCTTTGCATTTACATGTTATACAAAATTCAGGAGCATTTATGGTTACTCTATACCACAGTGTAATGGTTTTCTACAGTCCTGAAGCACCTTCAGAATTCTGTAGAATGACTCTTTGATGTCTAATTCTTTCTTAGCCTTTTATTCCTCTGCTCAGGAAGCAGTTCTGGTTGCTCTTTAAGTATCATTGTCATCTTCGCTTTCCGTACATTAGGAGGATCTTGTCCCATGTGCTTGTAAGGCTACTCCTTTAGTGATACATCCTCAGCAGCGCCCCTGCTGGTGAAGAGCATGCTGGTTACCTGGTGATTCACAGTTAGGGCTTCCAGTCTGGACTTTAGGATAAAAGATTGGCAGGTTAAGACAAAAGTTTGCACTCATGGAGCCTCCTACTTATGTCTTAGGCAATGTATTCTAGGACTTATCTCATTTATAATCTATCTTCTTACCTGAAGTCTCTGGTAATTTGGATTTTGACAAGTAAGTAGTTCTTTTTGTTTCCTCTAACGTAATATTTTTTTAAAAAAATTAGTCATATCTTTAATACTCATAGGGTAATTTGGTAGTAAGTAGACATAGAGTCCATATCTTTTTGTTGGGGTGGGGGGGTACTGGGGGTTGAACCCAGGGGCACTCAACCACTGAGCCACATCCCCAGCCCTATTTTGTATTTTATTTAGAGACAGGGTCTCACTGAGTTGCTTAGCATCTTGCTTTTGCTGAGGCTGGCTTTGAACTCACGATCCTCCTGTCTCAGCCTCCTGAGAGCCACTGGGATTACATGCATGCACCACTGCACCTGGCCCATATCTTTTAAATTAATCAAACTATACCTGGTATTTATTCCCATAGTAACGTTTATCCTGTGGGTATGATTTGATACTCAGTAAGTATAAATGCTTAGGAAAGTTTTTATAAATAAGTGGTTCTATTTTAAGTTCTTTAAGATTATCTATATGCCCATGAATAAAACAATTATCTAATGGTAGCTAATACCAGATTCCTGAGAACCATCTGGACAAAACATCTGGAATTGGAACTTGAAAACTATGGTTTGCAATCTCACAAGAAACAGTAAAGGATATTTTATGACATTGATCAGGGTGCTAGACTTGTTGGAATAAATGTAGAGAATTGAGACCATCCTGCCCTGAGCCCTACACCCGACACTGGTGAAATAACCCCTGCTTGAAGAAATCCACCTGTGTCTTCCTCCATTCTTCTGATCGCAGCACTCTGCCTGGGCTTAGGAGGAAGATACCTTCCATTTTCTATTCTCAGCCCGAAGGGAATAATGAACTGTATTCATGACTTCACTGCACTGGTAAATGAAAAATATCTACTCTATGAGGGCCTCTCGAGAGGGAAGAAGTGTTAAAAGTAGCACTAATGCTTAATTTTCAAAAAGTGTGCAGGGAGGAAAATAAACAGACGTCTCCACTCTGTTGGGTGGAACCAGAATTGGGAGTCGATAAGGAAGGTCCTCGTTCCTGTCTCACTACCAGGATATGGAGGAGACCGCGGAACAGACCCGAAGCCTGAACATATATTGCCACTTTGCCAATGGTATTGGTGAGCCCAAGTACATGCCTGTACAGTCGTGGGAAATCTTGACCCAGACTCTGGCGGAAGCCCTGGAGAACCACAACGAAGTCAACACAGTGATGGACCTGGTTCTGTTTGAGGATGCCATGCGCCACGTGTAAGTGAACTTCTCTTCCTACCTTTCCTCAGGGGCTTCTCTGTTCTAGTGGCAGGCATCCCATTTGACTATTTAAGGACTCTGTGGGAGGGCCAGAAAAGTAGCTACTGCTGTTTCCTTGAAGGTCAAGATGTCGGAGCAGTAACTGCAGGCTTCTGCCACTGGCCCTAGGAAAAAACCAGGTGCTGGACTCAGACAAAACTGTATCTGTCTCCATGCCTGCCAGGTACTGTCCCTGGCCATGATGATAATGACACCAAGAGAAGATCTGCCATCAGAAAAGAGGCACCAGAACAGCTCAAGGTCCCCAACCCTACCCCCATACTGATCAAAGGAACAGTTTTTGATGTGACCATGTCCCTGTAGTATGCTGTTTTTAAGTCATTTGGGTATAGACCCTGGAGAGGGATAGCTGGGTCAAATGATGTTCCATTCCCAGATTTCCAAGGAATCTCCATACTGCCTTCCATATTGGCTGCACCAATTTGCAGTCCCCACCAGCAGTGTATGAGTGTGCCTTTTTCCCACATCCTCACCAACACTTATTGTTGTTTGAATGCATAACAGCTGCCATTCTGACTGGAGTGAGATGAAATTTTAGAATAGTTTTGATTTGCATTTCTCTAATTGCTGGAGATGTTGAACACTTTTTTTCATAATTTGTTGATTGATTATATATCCTCTTCTGAGAAGTGTCTATTCAGTCCTTTAGCCCATTTATTAATTGGGGTTTTTGTTTTTCTGGTGTTAAGGTTTTTGAGTGCTTTATATACCATATGCTTTAAATATCTATCTGATGTGCTTGTGGTAAAGATTTGCTCCCATTCTATAGGCTTTCTATTCACCTGATTGATTGTTTCTTTTGCTAAGAAGAAGCCTTTTATTTTGAGTCCATCCCATTTATTGATTCTTGGTTTCAATTCTTGCACTATAGGAGTCTTATTAAGGAAGTTAGGGCCTAATCCCACATGATAGAAATTAGGGCCTACTTTTTCTTCCATTAGATGTAACGTCTCTGGTTTAATTCCTAGGTCCTTAATCCACTTTGAGTTGAGTTGTGTGCATGGTGAAAGATAGGGGCTTAATTTCATTTTGTTACATATGGACTTCCAGTTTTCCTAGCACCATTTGTTGAAGAGGCTATCTTTTCTCCAATATATGTTTTGGGTGCCTTTGTTCAGCCACGTCAATGTTTATAGCAGCACAATTCACAATAGCCAAATTGTGGAACCAACCCAGATGCCCTTCAGTTGATGAATGGATAGGGAAACTTTGGTATATATACACAATGGACTATTACTCAGCATTAAAAGATAATAAAATTACAGCATTTGCAGGTAAATGGATAGAGTTGGAGAATATCATGCTAAATGAAGTAAGCCAATCCCAAAAAAACAAAGGCTGAATGTTTTCTTTGATATGAGGATGCTTGACTCATAATGGTGATGGAGGGGGCGGAGCATGGGAGGAATGGAGGAATTTTAGATAGGGCAAAGGGGAGGGAGGGGAAGGGAAGGGCAAGAGGGTAGGAAAAACGGTGGAATAAATTAGACATCATTACCTAAGTACATATATGAAGTCACAAATGATGTGACTCTATTTTGCATACAACCAGAGAAATGAAAAATTGTGCTTTATATGTATACTATGAATTGAAATGCATTCTGCCATCATATATAAAAAATCAGAATAAGTAATTTAATAAAAAAGGAACATTTTTTTAATGTAATAGGGTTTTTGTTCAAGTGCACACATTTCAAAAATTAATCATTCTTTTAAGGTTGTTGCTATCCAATGCATGAATGATTGGCAGTAATCGGCAAGCTTTCCAGATAAATTCCACTTACGCTACCAGTGCTATCCCCAGAACTGCTCTGCATTCCCCAGTCTGAGTTCCATCCACCACACTCCCTGCCCTCCCAAATCCTCCCTCTCTGCCTGTGGTTTACATGAAATAAAATCTGCCTCATCTTCCATTTCTCTTGAGTTCATCCTTCTCTGGTGGATCTGAAAAACCAATGGATCCTTGAATGGAGGAAAGCTGTTTCCTTCCTGGGCCCAGGTACCCCAGAGTCTAGGGAGTTGTAAGTCTCCTCCTTACCCCCTCCCTCACCCCCACCCCCGGGCATGTTCAAGTCATTTTTCCTTTTGTCCTTCACAAACCACAGCTCTTTCAAAGCACACGGAATCCAGGTTCCATGCTACTTCTCCCCTCGTGACAGTTGACAGGTGACTTCCAGTCAGTCACTCCTCAGTGCTGAGCCATCTCTCCCTCCTCCCCCATGGCTTCTAGTCCCCATTCTTTCTGTTCCTTGGTCTCCTCCGCTCCTATGATCTTTTCTTCCACCTCACCTCAGCCCCTCATTTATAGTCCCTTCTCTAGAACATCTACCATCAATGCCGAATTCACCTCCAAAATCTGAATTTCAATTATTCCACTCTCCACCCTGTACCTCCTACTCTGGAACTCACCTGTTCTCATCTTTTATTCCACCTCTTCTTAAACTTCATCAAGACTTTGTTTCATGGGCCAACTACCTTCTCAACCTCCTTTACTCCCCTTACCCTGTCTTTACTTTCTCCCTCCACTACAATGGATTCTGTCATCCTGGTACAAACTCCCCTCCCTCTCCTGTCATTGTACCCACATGGAAAAGCCCCACTTTGGTGAAACCAGTCTGTTACTTTGTTCCACACCTGTCCTTATCCAGCTGTTCATGGTTGAAGGAGAATCCCTCACCATGTTTGTGCTAGTCATTTTTTTTTTTTGCATTGCTGTGAACAAAATATCCAACAACGACAATTCGCAGGAGAAGAGATTTCTTTTGGATCATGGTTCAGAAGACTCAATCCATGTTCAACTGGTTCCAAGGCAGAAATATCATGGTGGAAGGGTGTGGCAGAGGAAAGTGGCTCATCTCATAGAGGAAGGAGCCAGGGAAAAGACAGACCATTCCAGGGCACACTCCCAGTGACCTACTTCCTCCCAGCATCAGCTGACAGAGACCTCACAACTCTATCATTCCCTAAAAGTGTGACCTCTGAATCTTGATGCATTGATGACCACATTTTCATATATGAGCTTTTAGAAGACACTCCAGATCCAAGTCATAACAATATTGACTAGATTTGCTTCAGTGTCATGGCCACAATATCAAGTAGGCCCTCAATGTTGCTAGAATTCCTCCTCCACGATCCTGAACACTTTGTTCCTTTGTCTTTCCAAGATAACTGCACTATATGTTTTTCCTTTCTCTCAAACTTCTAACACTTCTCCCCTCTCTTTAATCCCAGCTAACAAACACATCTCTTGTTTCACTGAGAATTCTTACACCTGCCTACCTGGGATACCTGTACAGCCCATGTATTTCATAAGCATCCTACCCACAAAATTGCGCCTTCCTTGCTGTTTTAATTAATGAGTTTGGTTCTTACCTGGGGCTGATCCCTTCAAACATGTGGATGGGATCCCAACCCTTCTCATCTTCTCAGTGATTTTATTCCTTCCTATAATTATCATCTCTGCCTCTCTCTCTCTCTCTCCTTCTCCTTTTTCTTCTCCCTCTCTATTTCCCTCTCCCTCCCCTCTTTTCTCTCTCTCCTTTTTCCTGTTACCCCATCATTAATTTCTGTATGCACATTAATGTACATACACACCTCCCATGATACCACTTATCCAGGAAATAATAAAATATTCCTTGATCTTCGTATCCCTTCCCATCTACTAACCCTCATTTCTCTCCAGCAAAACTCACCAAAGAAATTATCCATACTTGTCATATCTCCTCACCTCTAATTCTCCTCAACCCACTGCTTACCATCTGAACAAAGCGGTTCCCACGGTAATCACCATAGACTCACCTCTTGCTAAGGTCAGTTGTCATCGCTCATATTACTGGACACCCTGTTGCATTTTTTTGTGATTTACTATTGTGTCTACTTTCTTGGCATGCATCCATCCATTCATCCAACACATGTTTATGGATTAGACCACCTTAGTATGGGTGTAGGGGATCTTGATTTTATTGACTACAGATCCCCGATACCTAGGACATTGTCTGGAATCTAGCAGGTGCCCTATAAAACTTTTTAACATATTATCTAGGAATAAACCAAGTAGAGGAGAATAAAGGGAAAGGGGAGATGCTAGAGGATGGAGACTCCAATTTCATAGGTGATCCAGAGGGTCTTACCCAAAAATGCAGCATCTGATATGACACATTAGACATAAAAATCACCATGGGTCAGGTTCATGGTGCTTTGAATATATCAATTCATTTAGTCCTTATAAAAAGACCTAAAGAAGGTAAGGCCTATTGTTCTCCCTATATTGTAAATGAGAAGAGAAGCTGCCTGAGGTCATATACCTCATAGAAAGGAAGCCAAGTCTCACACCTGTGCAGTCTGGGTCCAGAGTCTGTGCTCTTGCCCTTCACATGTGACGTTTTCCCATAAGCTTCCCCTACCCTCGACGAATCCAGTGCACAGCCTGTCTTGCTCATTGCCGAATCTCTAGTACCTTGGACAGTGCCTAGTACATAGTAGGTATTCAGTAAATAAGGGCTTAAAATGTCTACTGCCTAACACCGTGATAGTGCAACCAGTATTTTTCCTCCTCTTAAGAGCTACCAGCACCTCCGCATCCGTTTTGGAGCTGAGGCGAGTCTTTGCGCTTTAAGGGTGAATTTAATTTGGGAGAACAGCTAGTGATTCCCAACATGGGTGATCAAACTGACGGATATTGTTTTTAGGAAAAAAAAAAAAAAAAGCTAAGGGCTGGTTATGAGAACTAGCTTTTCTCCTGAGGCTCATATACAGAGTCTAAAGATCATTTCCAAAGAGAGGCCTGAGCCACTTTTAGCGATGGCAAAACAACTGGGAAAATGAACTGTCTTGAGGGGGCAATGCTGAAGCACAGAGTATATTTGGATGTATAATTTCCTGTACATTTGTTTAAAAAAAAAAATCCATGTCCCATTCCTTTCCCCTTGCCCTGCCCTTCCCTCCCCTCCCTGTGGGCTCATTGATCCCTCTGTGCTGCTCCTACCGGCCACATAACCTTAGACCACAAAGAAAAGGGAGGCCAAACAATGCACTGAGAAACATGAATGATAAGCAGCAAGATGCCACAGTCTCTAGGTGCCCAAGACTCAGAGCATTTAGGGCTTGCTCCGGGAAAATACCACCCCCTGAGACCCGAGTTGGGATTGGCACAGAAGAAGAAAATTATCTGTATGTGCTTTCTGAGGAACTAGGAGTCCTGTGGGGCAGGGGATGCAGAACAAGGTGAGAGTCAGCCTATTTTAATGGTGCAGGATGACCCTATGTTCATTGTGACTTCATCTGTCTAATTTTCTTCTTGTCACTAGAACATTTTAGTATTTTCTTTTGTTGGATGCCCCGACACCTTCTCCCAATGTTGCTTCTTTCCCTTCTCCTGCTTTAAACCCAATAACAGTAGGTGTGGGTTCTGGAGGGTGAGTCCCAGGTCTGCCATGAATTGGCTGGGGTGCTTTGGCAAGGATACCTAACTTCCCCAAGCCTCACGTTCTTCATCTGGAAATCGAGAATAATAAAAATACCCTGGTGGTAGGGTTGTTGCTGCCTATGGGAAATGCTTCACCCCGAGAAAGCAGTCAATACATATTCATTTTTCTCTTGGTATGCTTGCTTCCCTTCTCCATAATACCATTGAATTTGTTCTTCTATTGAATTCCTTCATTTTTTTATTTTTATTTTTTTTATTTCTTACATACATGACAACAGTGGAATGCATTACAATCATAATTATCCATTCACAACACCTTCATTATTTCAGCAGATTCTCCTTCTGCCTTTTCTTAAAACCTTCAACTAGATCTTTTCACCCGCTTTTGACACCGTCTTCATTCATCTTTTTCTTTGCCTCTTTGTTTTTTTTTTTTTTTTTTGTACTCCCATGTGGATTTTCTGCCTGCTCTTTTTTTTCTTTGAGAATCACTTAGCCATCATTAGCAAAAAAGAACTTCAGATGTACTTCTTTTGTGCCAAAAGTATCTTATTAGTTCTCCAGGGGATTTGTGTGTGTGTGTGTGTGTGTGTGTGTGTGTGTGTGTGTGTGTAGTCTTCAATAAACCAGCCTTCTCCAGCTGTGCTGTGTTGCATCTTCAGCTTTTGTTTTTAATCTCCCAGAAATTCAGTAAAGAGCTTAACATAGACTGGCGGTGGCTGGCTGGCCCAGGAGCTCTTTAGAATATTGATCTTCTTTTTAAATTTTGTAATTTAAATGCAGAACCCTTTGCCCTCCTCGGAGGTTGTTAATGAATCCCCAGCTGGAACCTGATGCTGACAACTGCAGACTTAGCCATTCTTCTTTGGAAACTTCATCACTAACGATGTGTTTTCCATTTAGATATCGAATGACATGAGCAAAACTGAGTTCAGGCCTTCTAGAATACAGTTGGGTGTTGGACATCCCGGAGAACCCAGTTGGAGTCCAAATCTTCCCCCCCCCCCAAGATTGCCCCTCTCCTCCACGAATCCATTCCCACCTCACCTTTTCTAAATCAGGAGAGAGAACCTGGATATCTTAGCACCTTTCACAAAGGAGACACAAAGCAAATGACCCCTTGCACGTAGCACCATGAATAACTACATACATAATCCCAAATGTGACACTGAGTTTAAGGCATGGACATGTTCCATTTTACTTTAATAAAGTTTTGTTGGATATCTTCAATGTCCAGCACGGAAATGCATCCCAAACAAGTAGGCAGACTCTTCAGATGTTGTGAAATGATGGTTTAAAAAGAGAGCAAGAGAAGTATAATTCTAGCTGAAAAAGATAGAGCATAAATATTCTAATTAAATTATTAAAGTGAAAAAGTAAAATCATTTTAAAAAAACAGTAAATGCAGGTCAGTAAATAATTCCTAAATACTTAGATGAATGAATTGTAACTACATAAAATTCAGTGAGATATGATTTTAAATTCTAAAAATTTCCGTGCATCCAAAATACTTTAAAGAAAACTAAAAGGTAATAGTGACAAGTTGGAGGATAATTCAAAACTTAAATAAAGAGACCTTACAAATCTAGAAGCACACTTAAGTTTAAAAGTGGGCAAAGTACATGAGCATAAAATTTACAAAATAAAAAATATAGAAGGATCGATAAGCATGACAAAGGTTCAATTCCATAAAAATAAAAAATTTAAAATTAAAACAATAATATTTTTAGCCACTAAATTGGCAAAGATTTGTGTGTGTGTGTGTGTGTGTGTGTGTGTGTACTTGCATGCATACATGCATGAGGTTGGGCACCAGGCCCCCCTTCATGCAGCTGGTACTGATTGTTGACACATATACTTGTGCAGTTTCCTTCCCAACAACAAATACAATGAGGACCCACAAACAGTTATTTTATGCTAATTCTGACCAAGTCATCAGTACATGCAAGAAATTTGCCCTAATAAGAAAATTCATCCCAAAGAAGCTCAGCATGAGCCCTGTGACTTCACACATACTTGTATTTTAACCGGTCAAACCCCACCCACCAAAACTACTTCCCAGCCCTCCCTCCAAACTGATGTCACACAGACCTTAAGTCATTGCACCATTCCTTAATTTGGGTATAGTGTTTCTAATTATAATATCCTTAACATAAGACAGGAAAATAGGAATGTATTCTGTGAAATTCAATTTCAAATGTATCCCTGTTCTATTTGGCCAAATGCTACCTGAATTCTTATTATCGTTCTCTTTTTGTCCCAAGATCACCAAGGCCTGCATTCACGGATTTATATTCTAATTCAGTGAATACAATCCAATAAATCCTCAGCCTGCAATACCACAGATTCACCTTTTGATCAGTTTTACCTTAGAAAATTAAAACTTAGTGCCACTCTTCTGGGGGGGTGGTGGTTTTCTGGAACATATCAAAATCTACAGAAAGTGTCCTACTGCCTGACTCAGCAATTTTACTCCTAGGAATTTATCCCAAGAAAAAAAATTAGAGATCGAAACAAAGAGATTATATTTTATTATTTATAGCTGCACTATGTTAGAGACAATCTAAACATCCAACAGTAGGCTATTACAGATAAGCAACTTATTCTATTTTTATATGAATATAATATTCATGTTTTATACAATATTGTCCCAGCATCAAAAGCAAGATTCAGCAGATTGTTACTGGCAGGGGGAAATAATCAGAGTATAATGCTAAATGAAAAAAAAAAATGGTTCAAAACACGATCTTCAGTCTAAAGGGTGAACCCAAGCCCAATTTTTAAAAATTGACGAGATGTAAATATATTGACTTTTTAGGTGTAATGAATGTAAACGTATTTACAAAAAATTTAGATAGTAGGGAAAAGTCCACAAGGCCAATTAATTATTAATATCAATAATGTTTCTTATTAGATAGCAGCCAATTGTGCATTCTCTCCAGTGTTTTATAGAGTTTGTGCAATGCATAGCCATTGTTTTTAAGATGGACATGAAACAGGAACAGGAGTTCTTTTTATAAATAACGTGCACCCAGGAGAGGGCTTAAAGAAAAGGTTGGCAGCGTCTCCTAGAGAGAGTCTGGAGGGCTTGATGCAGAGTGGCATTTGAGGAAGGCTTGGAGGGACTGGGGCAGTAGCTTCCTTTGGAGAGGGTGGTCTAAGTCCAGCGTGAGACCTGGAATATTTCCCCAATGCTGAGGTGGACACTGAGGGCGATGAGAAGAAGCTAAGCCATGAGGGGAAGAATCCAGAAGCCAAGGATGTGGGTGTCTTGCGGATTGGCAATAAGAATCTGCAAATATTCATTACAAGAGCATCAACATCCACCAAGGTCTAAAGGAGGCAGAGAGAAACTATGTCAGGCTCTGTTCTTACCCTTCCTGCCTCATGCTCCTCTTCTTTCCTAAGACTCTGTTCTGGTCTTGCCATGTCCCCAAGCCTCCCCTGATATTTATTATTATTATTATTATTATTTTAGTAATATGTCTTCTACTTTTCTCTTTTTCCTGTTCCCTCTTCTTGCCCAAAAGCACAAATAGGGGAGACTAAGTGAAGTAGGGTGGGGGCGGGCAAAGTCAGGCTTAATGGGGAGAAGAGGGAGGGGAATCCTGGGCCCTCCCATCCCTGTGGCTGACCCCTGCAGTGCTGTCTGCCTGGCCTGGACTTGTCTCTCCCCGGTTCACGGAAGGCTATGGATTCAAATCAACAGCAACTTTAGTCCACTTGGGCAAGAAGGCAGAGCTGGGTTTGGGGACATTTTATCAGGTCCCCATGGCTCAGCCCATGATGTGCCGCTTCCAAGGAAAGTTCCTATTCTCCCTAAGATGGATATATGCCTCGTTCTGGGAAAAGTCTGATCAAAGCAGCAGGCCTCTGCTTCTTCCTCTGTAGCTGCCATATCAATCGCATCTTGGAGTCCCCACGGGGGAATGCTCTGCTGATTGGCGTAGGTGGGAGCGGCAAACAGAGTCTGACAAGGCTCGCGGCTTTCATCAGCTCCATGGATGTGTTCCAGATCACGCTGCGCAAAGGCTACCAGATCCCTGACTTCAAGGTGAGAAGGCCTGCCGGCTGGGGAGGAGTAGACTCAGCCTGTGTCCAACCACCCATGACTCCTTGTCAACCTTCCTTAGCTCTCTAGTTCCCCTGTCCAGAGTCTCCCTTTAATTGTCCATTTTCTCCTTAGTGTCTGGGTTGGTGACAGGAGGGGCTCTTTTCTTATTAGACTCAGCCTGCGTGCAGTGACCTCTCCAAGGTCTGCCTTTGCAAGTCCTCAGCTGCCCTTATGACATCCGTGGGGTCTCAGCTTTTGCCCCAAATCTATATCAAATTCAGCATGCAGCTTGCTAACTTCCCTAGTACATGCAGGAAGAATCCCAACAGTCTACCCAAGTTTTATTAAGAAATTCAGATTTTAAAAGATGGATTCAATAATCACTGGCCCCCTCAGGTCCTGCAGGGACATTTTCTGGTTTCAGAGACCAGCCCTTAGGAGCCATGCATGATGCATGTCCTGGAAAGTGAAGAAAGACACATACAACCTTCAGAGATCCTTTGTCTAGTCCTCTCGATTTTATGCATGGCCACAACCAAGTCACAATAGAAAGTCATGGTGTAATTTATATCGAGATGCTGCCTTTCCTGTTCCTGGAAGAACTCCAGCCAGCCCTGAGCCACCTGCTCTCATAATATTCCAGCCACTGATGGGAGAGGTACATGCTGGCTTCTGCTCTGAAGCCACAGCTCAGGCTCTTGACCTTGGCTGTATCCAAGGTCATACATCAGGTTCACATTAGGTCTTTCTTCAGTGTTTCAAAAAAAAAAAAAAGATAAAACAAGACAGCATAGTAATGGGAACTATGCATTTACAGAATGATGTAAGACAGTAGTTCTACACTGAGACTTTGGCTAAATCCCAGAATCACTGGGGATCTTCAAATAATGCCAATGGCTGCATCCTACCCCCAGCTATTCTGACTCAACTAGCATGAGAAATAGCCTGGGCATAAGGATTTTTCAAAGCATCCTCCAGATGATTCTAATGAGAATTAAAAAACACTGCCTTAGATCATTTTGTAAAAGCATAAGGTAAGAACCATTGATCTAAAAGGAAGTGTATTATCTTGAATTATTTGGATACCAAGAAAGCTCTGCAATAATGTTACTGAAAGTGCAGTCCTTGCCCCCTGTGCCAATCCAATAACAAGGACACAGTTTTGAGAAAAAGGAAAAAGAAGTTTTATTGCTTTGAAGCACAGGGGATTCCTGTTCCAGAGGCTGTGATTCTGCCAGTCAAGGGAAGCAGGGGGCTTTTAAAGAGGTGATTCAAAGGCTACATTCCAGCGTTCTCTGTTGGAGATGTAATTCACTTGTTCATTTGGGAGATAGTCATTTCTGAGATCTTCCTGTGCCATCCCCAAAGTCTGGATTACTTCGTTCCTGTGGTGGGGTGTGTGCTCAAGGACAGATAACTCTGTCTAGCATGGGGAAGAAAGGTAATCCTGTTTCCCTGAGATTAGAGTGAGGGAGAGAGAGAGATTAGGGAGGAGCAGGGAGAGAGGAAGAGAAAGAAACATGTCCATTTTAAAAATAAGTCACAGTGGCTGAGCAGCCAGGGATGTATTCAAAGCACAAAGAGGACCACTATTATAGGAACAGAATGTAGGAGGCTGTTAGGAAATGATCTCTGACTGGTGATAGGAAAGAGAGCAAGGGTGTCTGGGGCTGTAGCTCAGTGGTAGAGCACTTGCCTGGCATGTGTGAGGCCCTGGATTCAAGCCTCAGCACCATCTAGAGATAAATAAATAAAATAAAGATATTGCATCCATCTACAACTAAAAAAGCTATTAAAAATAAAGAAAGAAAAGAGAGCAAGGTACTGGACAATGGCTGAACTTTGTGAAGTTGATATAGCAAAAGAACCGAGACTGACCATGCTGGGTAAAATTCAGGGCCTGGCATCCTTGCCCCAAACTTCATCCATCTATAGTTTTGAACGTGTGATTGCCTACAGCTGATTGTCTGTTGCAGGGAAAGTGTATTCCCAAATCTATATTTTTTTTTCAACAAAAGTTTTGCTGTAGCTAGTCATAAGAATGCAAGATGCTGCCAGCATGAGATAGCCCCAAGAACAAAATCCTTCTGTCAAGACCAAAAGCAGTTACCTGCCTTCTAGAGCAGGTCCATTTGCTTGCATAATGATACAAGTAAAACAGATGAACAGAGAACACCTCCATCCTTTGGAAAGGACCATCTCTCTTATATCTGCACAAATCAAAAACTCCAGGAGCTCATTAAGGAGTCCCCATGGTTGTATGAATTAGAGGTCCTCCCTATGTGGTTTTACTCACCCAACTCCATTGGCACTGAGCCTGGGAGTGAGGCAGATTTTCCCTGCCTCTCACTGTCACCTTGCTTTATTTCCAATTAAAATAAACAAGAAAATGGTTCCATTTCTAAAGAGTGGATTGGGGATCTCTTTCAAGAAGGTCCCCTTCTCAGGATTTCTGGTATCGATTTTCCCACAGGTGGACCTGGCTGGCCTGTGTCTGAAAGCTGGGGTGAAGAATCTCAGCACTGTGTTCCTTATGACTGATGCCCAGGTGGCTGACGAGCGGTTCCTGGTGCTCATCAACGATCTCTTGGCATCTGGTAAGAGGTTATTTGCATTCGAGTGTCTCTAATAGAGTCATTCAGAGGTGGAGACATCCACCAAGGTCAGAAAAGATGAGTCATAGAAATGAGGGAGAAAACTGATCAGTCTTCCCAGGTTTGGTGCTGGGCCCACTGTCCTGGCTCTTAGATTCTACTTGCATTGCAAATCAAGCAATAATCTTGAGGCTATCTTACTGGGACAAGATCTGGTTATGGGGAGAAAAGCAGGTAAGAATCTGGGAATCTACTTAGTCAGAGAGAAGGTGCTATTTCTTCTCTATATTCATCATGAAGAAAAGCTGAAGGTTAGATATTGGCAGGAAGAAATACAGAGATAATGTATACCCAACACTGGTACAACTGGAAAAAATTGGGTTGCCAATGTAATTCACCAAAGATTCAGAACCCGCTGGAAACAGAAACAGATGTAGAATATCTCCACATCCTTTTCCTTAGTTCCTGATGACCTTGACAGGAGTTGTCTAGTGCCCTGTGACACTATCTGTGCAAGATAGGACTTCACAGAAAAGCTTGACTCTTGCTACTCTATTGTTCTTATTGATTAATGTGTAATTCCCCAAAAATCATATGTGTGTGTGTGTGTGTGTATACTTCATACACACAAATTTACATGAGACAATAGAGTACATACAAAAATATAATGCATAAATTAAGCATCTATATAAACATGTATATATTTATATCAATTAAAGGGAGAACATATATTCCTGCCTCTTAAACCAAATGCAGCCTCTGTAAAACCACCTCTTCACTAGGGAAAAGAAAACAGCATTCCAAGATGTTCCTGAACAAAATTTCTTCCTCCAGCTTCCCAGAATTTCAAAAGCCCACTTCTCCACAATCCACCTCCTAGATCTATTGAACAGTCTTTAGTTTATAAAGTCAATATGGTCCCCAGGTACATGTGTCCATCATCTGTCCCATGCCATAAGTAACTTATTTCAGGATAGCTCCTGACAATCCCTAGGAGCTTCACTGCTTTAGAACATAGCCTGCTTCATATTCCACCTCATGCTCTGTCACTGTTGTTCCATGAAGAGCCACTGGTCCCCAGTCCAGACCATGCACTAGCAGGTCTTGTTTCTGAGGAGGGTCTGTGTCCCAGGTTCCTTAGCATGCTGGCTCCCCACACTCATTTCTTCCCCAGACTGCTCTGTTTACATTATCTTTATATTCAGAAGTTTTCCTACCAATTCTTGTGCATTTTCTCGAGTTTCAGGCTCATAGCTTCCTTGTAAGGATTCCATGTCAAAAAGAAGCAAGGTTGGGCCAGGGATGTGGCTCAAGAGGTAGCGCGSTCGCCTGGAATGCATGGGGCGCTGGGTTTGATCCTCAGCACCACATAAAAAAATAAAGATATTGTGTCCACCGAAAGCTAAAAAATAAATATTAAAAAATTCTCTATCTCTTAAAAAAAAAAAAAAGAAGAAGCAAGGTTTGCATAGACGTGTTAAGGTGGAGATATAGTTAAGATTAGCACTTTTTTTTTCCTAATCGTTTTTTTTTTTTTGGAAGGGGGAGAGGTTGAAGGTACTGGATATTTCCCTTCCTAAATACTGCCTTTAACATCTCATCACTGTGGTAGTTAACCTACAATATTACCTCATCTTTTATTATTTTATTAAATGAAACAAACAAACAAAAAGGAATCCAATTGGCCTACCACTCTGAAACTATCCTACAGCCTAATTTTTTAAACCGCCTAAGAGAGTAAAAATGTGTTTCCAAAAATGTGTAGCTTTGGAGACGCCAGGCCTGGTGCCATCCTCGCTCTGTTATTAAGTTGGCACCAATCCAGCCAGATCACCTTCTCCTAAAATAATGCCTGGGACATAGAAGTTGTTAGACTTTTGGCAAATGAAGTTTTAGTCCTCAATTAAGTATCTTTAATTTTTCATCTGGACAACAACTTTTCTCAAGTGCAAATGAATTTCTGAAACCTTGCCCAGTGAAAACTTAATGAAGTCAGCCTCCTCCAAAGGCATAGAGCTTCAGGCTCACAGTTTCCTTGTAAGGCTTCTATGTCAAAAAGAAGCAAGCTTTGCCTAGACATGTCAAGGTGGAGATATAGTTAAGATTAGCACATTTTTTTCTCCTAATCATTTTTGGGGGAGAGGTACTGGATATTGAACCCAGGGGCACTTAACCACTGAGCAACATCTCCAGCCCTTTTTAATTTTTTTTTTTATTTTGAGACATTCCGAAAAGTTTAATTCTTGCTATGTCCTCACTGGCCTGTTATGATAGACTCCGAAGAATGTACACCATCAAAGTCATGTATTTAAGGAACCCTTACAAAAGTTATTCTCTTGATCCTTGACCCAAGTTTAGCAAGTCCCCTTCCTAATTTAGTAAAAGAAAAGAGAATTACCAAGTCCCCCTCTAGTTTTCCACCCTTCCAGAAAGTCCATTCATTTACTGCAGTACCCCTGCCCAATGAGCACTAACTGGCTAAGAAACTAGGAAACTAGACCTTATATTGGTAAATTGAACAGTCTAGTCCAGGTGTGATGTCTCTTCCTATGCTAACTCTGATAGATTTCATACTTCATTTTACTTTGAAATTTTATGTTTGGAATTTCCTTTCACTTTTCAGAAGTCTTAATTACTTCCCTCTAAAATTAAGATCTCTTTCCCTTGACTTAGGCTAGATCACTTTCCACTTCTTCATTTATTCAACCATCACTTATTAAGCTCCCATGCTCCGGTCACGAGGTCCTATGCTTCTCTGAGAAGCCTCTGTATAGTCTAGGGAAGAGTGTAGAGCCAACTGGGCCCCTTCTCTTCTAAAGTCATAGGCACAGTTCAGGCTCCACCTCTGACCCAGACTGCTCTTTTTATATTTGGACCAATATACGGTTGGTATATAGAACGTGAAAAGATCACCTCATCTTCTAGGTTGCCCCGTTAGTGTTCTATACATATCACATGAAGATGCAGAGTCTGGTAAGATTTGTAATGAACTTGGCATTAAAGGGTTCTCCTGTGAGCAACTGGAACTGGGCTTCCATAGATGAGCCTTCTATGCTGTTGCATAAGCTGACTTCTGACCCAGTTTATCTGAAAGAAAGAAAAAAAAACCCACAAAACTTGGAGCAAAAGGGCAGCCAGAAAGCACGCATTGAACCTCTTGAATGTATTCTGTAGACTCATCATGGATCTGATCACAATCAGTGCAACTTTGAACTCACATCTGATCGGTTCTCCAGATGCAAAAACAGAAATCCCAAGAGGGTGATGCAAAAAGATGCTTAAGTAATCAGCGTTTTGTTTCCTCGTTGTGGTACCCAAGTCCCATACAGGTTCTTCTCGACTTTGTGTCTCTGTGGATTTCCTTACATGGCTAAATTTTCCCTCACTATATCCAAGGCAAAAACAATGGCCACCAGTTTTTCTCCCGAAACATTTCTGAATCCATATCTTCTCTTTCAGAGTGACTCTGACCTTATCACCTTTTGATTCAACAAGTGCAGGCAATGCTTAACTCATCTCCCTCCTTCACAGACAATCCCCTGGTATTATACTTTAGACCGGGCTTATCAAAAGTACAATTCCTRTTTTAATTCCTAACTGGGTGCAGGATAAAACCCAAGCCCCTTTTGTATTAGGAAATGTCTAACTCTGAAGTAGCACATTATGCTGTTTCTGACATCCTTATTCATGATGCTCATTTTGAACTTCGTTTCCTTCTATTTCTTTGTCTGGATTCACTCCTACCCATATTAGAAGACATGTCTTAAGTGTTATCTCTCTACTGATCCATTGTCACCCCCATGTAAGTCCCCTCTGTGTTCCTAAAGCAGTTGATATCATCCTTATATTGAAACAAGATTATAAATTCATGAAAGGCAAAGACTATATTGTGTTGGTTAATTTTATTTTGTTAAATAATTCAGAGATACAAAAACAGAATGATTAAATACCTATCATTCAGTTTAGGAAGTAAAACAAAGCAGATAAAACTGTAGCCACCTGCAGAGGCTGTATTTCTTTCTTCTTTCATACCTTCTGTGCTCAGCCCGCCTCCTGGCCCATAATTACTGTTCAGGAGGCATTCATTCCTTGAACAAAGGTGTGTAATATCAGGAAAATGACATGCCATCATACATATTACTTACTATCAAGGGAAAACAGGCTTTCAGAAATCTTCTTGCCATGGATAGAGAGGAACAGACATACCAAAATAACTGTCACACTTCTCCCTTGAGACCCAGGAAATATTTTTGAAACTATCAGAATGTGGTCAGGTTGAAACTCATAAGCAAGTGTAAGACTGGGGTCATGGAGAATCTAACCCTGAGTTTTACCCTTTTAATCACCAAGCTTCAGTTAAAAGAACTTTGTGAAACTATCAGGGTCTCTTCTCACTCAAGCAGTTGTGTCCTCTGAGGAATCTGAAACTAACACAGAGAAGATGAGCATTCATCTGTTTTGCAAAACATTATTTTAATGACCAAACTATTTTAATGACCACAGAAAACCTGCAAGCACTTGGAGGCAAAAATAGTGTTTCCCAGTTTCAGGCCTCGGGAGGAAAGTTTTCAGATATCTCAATAGCTTCTGCCTCTGTTCCCATCACAAGTCCCCCCTCGGCAGTTCATCTTCCTGCTTTCAACACCATGTGGCACATCACAGAATAAGTGACAGGAATATTGTCAGGAGAAACTGGAGGAACACATCTGAAAATCAGACTTTGCTAGGAATTCAGAGGCATTTATCCCTAGATATTTCATCTAGCAATCCCTTCTTACAGGTTCTCGGGATCCTGTGACAAACACCACCATCCTATGAGCTGGAAAATCTCTAAATTAACTACATGCTTTCAGCATCTTGGCTCCGGGTAGCTCAGAAGCAGTGGTCAGCAGACATTTCCTACAAAGCATCAGGAAGTCAATACTTTAGGCTTTGAAAAGGCACACATCTCTGTCACACCGACTCTACTCTGACATTGTTGTGCAAAAATCACCCCAGATAAT